CCCCCCCCCCCCCGGAGGTAGAATGGGAGAGGCCGCAGGGCCGCCGCCTCCCAACCTCCTTCCCCCCGAATGGAAGCGGCCGGCGTGGGGGGGTGCAGGGGTCCCGCCAACCCCCTGCGGCAGCGGGCCCCGGCCCGGTTCCCGGGCCGGGGGTTAACGGTCGGCCCCGGAGGAGGAGGAGGAGGAGGAGGAAGAAGCGGCTTTGCCGAGCTGCTGAGCACCTTCCCGCCGGCGGGCAGGAGGGACGTTGCAACCGTATCGCTTCCTGCGGAGGCTGGAGCTGGCAGGGTCCGGAGCAGCGTCCTTTACAGCTGCAGGCGTGAGCTTGGAGAACACGAAGGGAGCGGGGAGTTTGGCAAGAGCATCAGAGGAAAGAGCGAAAAGACGAGAGCGAAGAACGTGAACCGACAACCCCCGGCGGCAGGAACCGGGCAGGGGCCCCCCCCCCGGGAACCGGCAAGCAGGGCCAGGACCTTGATTCCTACCGTCAGGAATGCTCCTTCCCTTCGTCCCAGCGCCTCCGCTTCTGTGGGCTGCCTTGCAGGAGTGCCAGCTGCTGGCAAAAAGCTGCCAGTCCCCCGTGGGCTCCCCCGTGGGTGGGAACTGGGTCTTGGCACGGACTGGGGCCCAGCAGGTTGCGAAACGCTGACAGACGTGGGGCAGGGAAACGAATTGCGTGAGAAGTCAGGGGGGCAAAGTCCCCCTCGGGGTTGCTTATCTAAGGAGGGTACGTGGCACGGGGCAGATTTACCCCTCGGTTTTTCCCCTGCAGAGCAAATGCTGCGTGAACTTACCGAGCGCCTCGTATTTGGGCGGCGTTTCTGAGCCCAAGCACTGGTGAAGGGGATTGTGGCACCCTTCCAGCAACCTCCTGCATCGGCAGGAGGGGGAGATGAGTCGGTCAAGGAAAACTGGCCAGCAAGCGCTGAAAATGCAGGTGGTGTTTTGTAGGAGGCAAAGCAATCAACAGGAATAGCCTGGCCAGGACAGTTGAATTAACCTTGATACAGCACTCATGTGGGAAACAAGCCAAAAAAAAAAAAAAAAGAAGGCAGGGAAAGGAGCTGAGACAAGGCTGGGCTCACTCCAGTTAAAAATAGTCCTGCCACAACTTGTTCTAAGAAATGCAAGGGGATTATTTGAAAATTACTCTCGGGTTGTTCTGTGCTACCATTTCCGACACACTCTTACACAGGCCATTTATTGCTAATGCTCCTCAGCTGAAACTATGCCCAATTAAATCTCTGCCCTCCACACACCTCTGTGATGCAGAGGGCCAGCAGCTGGGTGCTCATGCCCAGGAGATGGGGCTAGCATGGAGCACATGCTTCCCCCCCCCCCAAAAAAATTTCATTACATTTTCCCAGATCAGCATGGCTGGCTAAGGCTGGGGCAGCCCTTTAGCTCAGCAGGCTGTGCCCGAACCACGACTCCCCCCGAGACACAAAGCTTGGCTTTCGTGAAGTCAGTTGGCTTTGCTGGCAACTCCTGGGCTGTGGCTCAGCCAGCACATGAACATTTCACAAGCTATTGCACAAATCTCAGCAGTAAACAGTCTGCCATGGAAAAGAACGACAAGAACAACTGCCAATACTTGCGTGCAGGAGGCAACATGTAAAGGAAAAACAGGCTGGGCTTGACAGGGCCCTTGCACTGTGGTATATGAAAAGGAGTGGGGTTTGCATTCCAGAAGACACAGGTAGGAGAAGTGGGAACATTCCTTGCAGGAGCATTACCTGATGCAAACATGCTCTCCTTGATCCTGTTGGCGTCCTTGCAGGCAGGGCAGGTTGGAGCTCTGTCCAGGCACCACACTGTCTGGAGGTCCAAGGAAAATTAGATAAGGAATTAGCACTACTGCAATCAGAGTAAAAGTCTTTGAGCTCTCAGCATGGAGTATTACATTGGGCCTAGGGAAACAGTGCTGCAATACATCCGCTGCAGGCAGCACACCCACCAAGAGGTATCTGCAGGAGCAGGGAGATGGTTATTTACTGATGTTTTCCAGAGTAGCCATTCTCCAGAGCCTGTAAAATTCTCACCCTTCAACCCAAGGGTTTTCATGCCACAGCAGTGCTTCTTGTGCTTTGCATCACACACAGGAGGCAAACATCCCAGTTCATCCCAGTGGCCAGCAGGCTGGTACTGTGCCACGCTTTTGCAGAAACCTGGTTTTAAGGCTTCTCTGTAATTGCAGAAATGAGAGAGCAGCAGCATGCAGCATCCTGGGAGACAGTCCCTTTTGTCCTTGTCAGGGACATCTTTTAGCCAATTATGGACAGGAAACAAGGTTGACAGCATTTCAAGCATTGCAAAATATCAGTTGAGTCTCCCTGGAGCGGCTGGGTGAGATGTGGATTTCAGGGAAGCGTGGGATCTCATGTGAGATGGAAGAATACCTCAGACAGCACCCGCTGAAACGCATGGTCTGCAGTGTGCTCCCCACGCCTAGGAGCTGACAGCGTTTTCTATTTTTATTCGGTCACTAAGAGACAATAAAGAAGGGAACTATTTATGGGAAAGTAATTGAACTCCAGAGGAACTGGGAGGTAAGCAGTGCTGGGGATGCTCTAATCCCCATGGCTATACTTAACAGCAGCCAGAGATGGTTTATTGAGAAGCTGAGCTTGAGACTCCCCTCTCCCCTCCACTCCTCACAGACCCTTGCTCTCACTCCCCTCTTGGAGTCAATTATAGCAAGGCACTGCGGTGAGACAGCCTCCTGCCCTGCACTGGGCCTGGGGAGGATGCCTTTATGCTGTTCCTTGCCCTGCTCCCAAAAGCATCTAGCAGAACCTGGGGAAGGGGGACTTTGGTTTAGAAGATAAGCTGTGCAGTATTTGGTTTCAAGAGTCCACCAAATAACACAGCTAATCAATAAATGTTTCTTTAGCTCACACACCACGCTCACAGAACTTCCAAGTTTTTAGCTAGGCTGAAAATCCTCAATTTCTGCTTAAATGTCTACCTAGTCTTGAGTTCCAAGTGTTTTCTAAAAGTCACACAATCTGGCCAGTGACACAAGACGATGGCAGATACAGAAGCCCAAACAGCACTGAATCATGAAAGCGGGTACAGAAGATTAACAACGGAGAGGTTTTAAGGAACCTACACAAATAAATACAGCTCAGTTCATTTATGGCATCACTTGTTTTGAAAGCTGTGGCTGATCTCACATTTGCAAGAAAAAAACTGGGTAGTACAGAGCCATGGTCTGTGGGCTGCATTGTAGACATAGCAGGGGCCATGGAAAATGTGAAAGTGACACAAAGAAACAATGAAAATGATTGGCACAAAGACTGCAACAAGACTCAACAGCACCACTGGCACTTAGTTTGCTTTCAGCCAAAGAGGAGGGGGAGCCTGCCACATACAAAAGCCTATTGAAAAGGTGTTTGTCCAAAGAAGCAGTGCCAAGACTTAGTGAGACTGGGCTCCAGCTGACTTAAAGACCTCCAGAGAGGGGTTACTGAGATACACTTCACTGATCTACAGAAAAGAGGAGCTATGCCGGCACTTTAAAAAGCCACAGCCAGGGCTACTGCTCAGGTCAGACAGGGAAGTTCAGGATAAAAGGAGATTTGCTTAAAGACTTAAAGGCATCCTGGACAGTCAAAAAAGATAGTAGCAAGCAAAGTTCAGAGCAGACAAGGAAGTCAAAGGATCAAAATTAAAGAAAAAAAAGAAAACCACACAAAAAAACAGGAGAGGAAGCAGAAGTCAAAAAGGAGGCGGGTCACAAGTCAGGTCACAAGCCAGCTTATCTGAATTTCAAAGCCTCAACAAGCTTTGAAAGCAGCAGTATCCAGCTTTACTTGCTCTAGAAGAAAAAGGAAACTTCCCTCTTCGGTGCAGCTGGGCTATGCACTGCAGAGTGCTGACACACCAGTGGATCACAATGGTTAACTGCCTCTGAACCCAGAGGTGATGACGGCAATAGCTTGACGTCACTGTGCAAGAAAGTAACAAGAACTATGCAGAACCTAGTGAGTCTCAGGAACAATTCACACCTCTCAACTGAAAAATGCTTCTCAGAATAATTTGTAGTATCTTAGTTGCAAGTTAAATTAGCTAGATTTCATTCTCTGAACCAGAGGAAGGGCTGAGAGTTCAACTTCTTGCTTATAAAAGGCAAATGTCAGAATCAAAATGTGTTTTAGATTCATCAGTTGACATTATACACTATGGAGAGAGTGGAACAAGTACAGAACATGGTGCTCGAGTAGATGCTACAGAGCTGAACTAGAAAAGCAGCACATCAGATATCTCCTTTCAAGTTCTATCTTTCAAAGGCTAAAAAAAAAAAAAAAAAAGTATTTTGTAGAAACAAGCACCTGCTGTTCAGTGCAGCAAGCTGAAGACAGAGGACAGCTTCAGGATCTTTGTGGAATGAGTTTATGCAGAAAGACAGGCCATGAACACTGGTCTCCTCCTCCTCCTGAAAACAGCAAAAAAGAATAGCCCTTTTCTTCTCCTCCTGTTTGTGCAGCTGTAGTCTTGCTGGCAAGAGTGGAAGGAGAATGAGCTTGAATCCTGAGAAAAAAAAGAAAACCAACAAAAAACAGTGAGTTCCTGGGAAAAGCAGCCTATCTCCTAGACTTGTGCATTAAGGCTTTTGCTTTGTTCCTACATTCGTGTTCAGACGTATCATTAGCATTCCCTGCTCACTCCTTCCTCATCCTCTTTACGTGCCAGTCACAAGCATAGGGTTTTTTTAAAATAATAAATTGGGAAAAATTTTATAGTACAACTAAGAAATACAGCAGCCACATACCAACTACCACAGCACACCTCAGATGCGAGAGAGGATATTAGCTACACAGTGGACAAAGCATTTTTTTTGTAAAGTTTGGATAGAAATTGTAACTTAACTGTCAATTTTTCATTCAATTAGCTCTGTATATGCTGTTTTGGCAGCCCAGACAGCCCCTCTTTGCTAGAGGCAACAAATAAGCACCTTGTTGAAAGAACATACAGCTGTTAC